CCAGAATGCTCAGCCTGCCCCTTTATGCACCTAATCTGCATGGAAATGGGCGCGCCCCTTCTGTCTGTCCAGGGGTTTGCACAACGGGTCTCAACATCTGGCCCCCGCTGTGCTCCTGCTAATCCTTCAAATGCTGCAGTGCTTGAGAATGGGCCTGACACGGTGTTCGGATGCACCGCACACTCTTCTCATGCACTAGGGCCAGTCCCTCATCTCCAGCTCCAGCCCCTGCACATCCCGCCAGGCCTGGAGCGAGAGCTCTGCTGGCTTGGAATAGGAGGCTGAGCTGAGCTTCTGTACAGAATCCCCGCTTTCCCCCTCACTTATTTCTCTTTGTTCTGCAGCTGGGGACGTCTGCCAGCTCCCTCCGGACGCTGGCCCTTGTGAGGCCCACATGACCATGTACTTCTACAACCCCGTCACCAAGAGCTGTGAGACGTTCATTTATGGCGGCTGCCTGGGGAACGGGAACAGGTTTGAAACCGAAGAGGAATGTCTGCGGGCGTGTGGACAGCCTGGTAAGAGACTGAGGGAGACTCAGCGAGTGGGGTCGTCAGCTTCCCTGGTAATAGAGACCTTTCTGCAAAGATCTGGGGCCACAGAGCCCTAGAACATCCACCACAGCCCACGGCCCCATTGCCCACGCACTGCACAGACACAGAGTAAGGCTTTGTCTACTCTTTCAACACTGAAGCTTTAACACAACAGTGTTGTTGCGGTGTCAGCACTGGCCAATCTCTCTGGGCAGGGGAGGATGATAATTTTGCGGGGCCCAGGACAGCGCCGCGAGACCCGGGGTGGCACAATTTCGCGCATGCACTTCGGGAGCAGCCAACCGGAAGTAGCGTGTGCATGGCGCATGCACGGGGGACTATTGAAGTGCTGGGCCCACGGTAGCCGCTCCACTCTCCCTGCCCTATATCCGCCACTGTCTCTGGGCACTCTGGGGAACCTATCTACACAGGAGGGCGTAGCACCCAGAGCTGGAAGTTCCTGCATTGAAACTTCCTGTGTTCAAGGGCTTGTTTCTCATGCCTCAGAGTGCGAAAGTTTCAGTGCAGTATCTTTCCAGAGTGGAGGAAAATGAGGAGGTTAGTTAAACTGAAATTAAAAAGTACAGTGTCCAAAGTAAAATCTCTGCATGCTGCATGGAAACTTTTCAAAGACACCACAATAGAGGCCCAACTTCAATGTATACCCCCAATTAAAAAACACAGGAAGAGAACCAAAAAGTGAGGCCTGACACGGTGTTCGGATGCACCGCACACTCTTCTCATGCCCTAGGGCCAGTCCCTCATCTCCAGCTCCGGCCGCTGCACATCCCGCCAGGCCTGGAGCGAGAGCTCTGCTGGCTTGGAAGAGGAGGCTGAGCTGAGCTTCTCTACAGAATCCCCCCTTTCCCCTCACTTGTTCCTCTTTGTTCTGCAGCTGGAGACGTCTGCCGGCTCCCTCCAGAGGTTGGCCCATGCAAGGCAAGAATACCCAGCTACTTCTACAACCCCGTCACCAAGAGCTGTGAGAGGTTCATTTATGGCGGCTGCAAGGGCAACGGGAACAGGTTTGCCACTGAAGTGGAATGTCTGCGGACGTGTGGACAGCCTGGTAAGAGACTGAGGGAAATTCAGCGAGTCAGGTCCCCATCTACCCTGGTAACAGAGACCTTCCTGCCACGGAGCCTGACCTCCATGATAACGACGGACCGGCTGCATCCCAGCAGTGCTAGAGCACCCACTAAAGAGGAATGTCTGCGGACGTGTGGACAGCCTGGTAAGAGACTGAGGGAAATTCAGCGAGTCGGGTCCCCATCTACCCCGGTATCAGAGGCCTTCCTGCCACAGAGCCTGACCTCCATGATAACGGTGGAGTGGCTGCATCCCAGGAGTGCTAGAGCACCCACCGCGGCCCATGGCCCAGGGGCTGCGCAGTGTTTCCAGATTTGCCCAATACTCTGGGTTACGCCCATTTATCAGGGTTACTCTGATGGGGCTGGGGGGAGGTTCTCAATTCTATCCGTGTGCTGTTTGTGCTACTTGTGCTCTCATATGGAGCTGAATTCTCCCTGCTGCCAATTCCCC